GGGCGGCTATGGCCTTTGCCAACAATTTGAATGAGAAAAGTTCAGAAGCCACGAGACGACTCAAGGAAAGTCTGCATGAATTTCCAGCAACAACCTGGAATGATGTTTATAACAGATACATCACGAAGCTGAGGATAGAAGAAGACACTATCTCCCGATCTCAGAAAGAGGAAAAGGTAAGTTCAAAACGTTCAGAAACCAAAAAAGGTCTGTGATCGCTGCCAACTCCACACTACTAAAAAGTAGGAAGAGAGGGTCGCAATAGCTTTTACCCGATATGAGGGTCGGGATATATTTCCACAGGGAGCTAGGAATAGAGTCGAGTATCTATCTAGACTACAGTTGTGTAATTATTCCAAATGTCACTTCCAAACATCTTTTGAATTTTCTTTAACAAACTAATATTATCAATTACTAATTAGAATTAAATTATGCTAATAAGAAAATTGCTAGAGTAGAATCTAATGGGTAGAAAGGCACTAGGGTAGTGAATTTCACCTAGGTGGCTAATTGACGGGTAAATGCTTCTAAGGTTCGATTGACATGATTGGAAAATATGCTATAACCGTTGCACAACTTTACCCACTCTCACACCTCTCGGTAGAGAGAGTGATTTTGCCTAATTGACTCTCTCGAGACCAAATGGATAGGCAAATTAGCTCAAGCAACTAGGGTTCAAGTTGGGTAATTACTCTCTCGAGGTTTAACCCTTTAATTGGGACTATCAATTCTCTTGATTCCTTCCCAATTCCTTGTTGGGTCAATTTTGGAGACTTAGGCTCTCTTTCTCAAGAAGATCCAAGTCAACTTAGCACAAACTAGTGTTTGCAACCACCAATTCATAGATTAAACCATAAAATTGACCCAAATAACAAGCACTCATAGTCAATCTAACAATAGATGGCAACACTCATCAATTACCCACACTAGGGTTGAGCCACTAGGGTTGAGCCACAACCCTAGCTAATGGGTTTAGCTACTCATGCTTGAAGGAGAAAATAGAAAATAAGATGAAGAACAAGATATATTAATTTAAAAACTAATGTAAATACAGAGAATCTATCGTAAAATCTAAGTTAAGATGCCAAAAATGGCTACACGATAGCTTATCACGAGCGCAACTACGTTCTAGAAAATGACTGATGACCTAAAAATGGCAAAATGTTCTATTTATACTAGGCTGGAAAAACTGGACAAAAATACCCCTGCGGTGTCAGCGCGGGACGCATAAAATGGATCGCGGCCGTGCTAGGCTCTTGGACTTCAATTCTGGGCTCTCTGAACTTGGGTTCCGCGGACCGCGAAGAATGAACCGCACCGCGGAGATCTCTAATGCGGTCCGCACGAGTATGACTGCGGACCGCGCAGCTTGAACCATGGCAAATTTCACCTCTCTGAATCTCTATTCGCGAACCGCACATAATGATAGTGCGGTCGCGGAGCCTTCACTGCAGACCACGAAATGTGTATTGCGGTCCTGTTACCTGAAGCCCATTTTTTCCAACTCTCTGAACCACCTAGTGCGGACCGCACAAAGTCGAATGCGGCCGCACTAGGCCTTTTTTTGCTCTCAGATTGCCTTGTCTTTGATACTTGAGCAGGTTTCACTCCTTTTGAGCCAATCTTTGACATTTCGTCACTTTGTCGATCAAACCTGCAATCAGCACAACTTTTGAGCCTTTTGGGACTATTTTGTAATAATTTATAATCAAAGCATAAGCAAGAAGGAGCATGAAACACGTTAAAATCCCTAGTTATCAGTCTGATAAAAATAGATACGAGCCATATATGGGCCCAGCAGGAAAAGACTCACGATCAAAGTAGGATAATTCAAGGTACGATCACAAATCGATAAATAGAGAGTCGGGTTCATCATCAAGGTTTGGAAACAAACGAAACACACGAGAAATTCGAGATGATGATAGAAACTTGAAGGCAAGATTTGGTGGTTATAATTTCAATGTCAGCACTTCAGAGTTAGTAGCGGTATTAAGAGGCATGGGAGATAAGGTACGGTGGCCAAAAGAAATGAGATCAAATCCAAACAGGCGCAATCCTGATCATTGGTGCGAATTTCACAACAATCATGGTCATAAAACGACAGATTGTAGATTATTACAAGGTGAAGTTGACTGATAAATAAGATTTTAACATGTTTTATACTCATACTTGCCTGCGCTTTGAGTGTAATTTGCTACAAAATAGTCCTAAAATGCTTACAGATTGCGCTTGATTGCAGGTTTGAGCTATAAAGTGACAAATCGTCAAAGATCGGCTCAAATCGGAGTGAAACCTGCTCAAGTGTCAAAGATCATTAAAGTAAGGACATTCAGAACTTGGTGCGGACCGCACCATTATGTCATGCGGCCACACCATAGGAGTTCAGAGACTGAGAAACTACAAGTCAAGCTCATGCGGTCGCGTCCCACTTCATGCGGCCCGCGTTTTACTCATGCGGCCGCACAATCTTGCTATGCGGTCGCGTCCAAGAAGTTCAGAGAGTGTCATATTCCAGAAGCAAACCACGCGGCCGCGTCCGACTTCATGCGGCCCGCGGCCCTCTCCATGCGGCCGCACTCTATGGTCACGCGCCCCGCATCAGTGAAGTTCAGAGAAGCTGCCAAAACCATTCATGCGGCCGCACAACAACTTTGTGCGGTCCGCGCCAGTTTTCATGTGGCCGCATTCCAACTTTGTGCGGTCCGCATCACCATCTTCAGAGAGAAAGATTCAGAGGTCAAGCAACCCAGTGCGGCCACGTGCCATCTTTGTGCGGTCCGCACTAACCCCGCAGGGGCAGTTTTGTTCAGTTTTTCCAGCTCAATATAAATAGAATATTTTACCATTTTTAGGTTAAGTTGGGTACATCTGATAGCTGCTGCACTCGTGAGACTTATGTTTTGGCCTATCTTGGGCATTTTTAGCTTAGTTTCATCATAGATTATTGTAGTTTAATATTAGCAATTAATTAATATGGTTGTTTCATCTTCTATTTCTTCATTTTCTTCTTTAATTATGTCTAGCTAAACCCATTAGCTAGGGTTGTGGCTCAATCCTAGTGTGAGTAATTAATGGGTGTTGCTTCTTAATGATAGATTGATATTGGGTGTTTGTTATTTGGGTTAATTTTATGGTTTAATTAAGGATTGTTGGTTGCAAACATTGATTCTAGCTTAGTGGGTCTTGACTCTTCTTGAGAAAGAGAGTCTATGACCCCAAAATTGACCCAACAAGGAATTGGGGTGGACCCATGAGAAATGGTAGTCCCAATTAACGGGTTAAACCTCGAGAGAGTAATCACCCTACTTGAACCCTAGTTGCTTGGTCTAATTGGCCTACCCAATTGGTCTCGAGAGAGTCAATTGGGCAAAATTGCTCTCTCTACCGAGAGGTGTGAGAGTGGGTATAATTGTGCAACGGTTATAACATTGATCCCAAATATGTCAATCTATTATTAGTAGTCTCTACCCGTTAGTTAACCACCTAGGTGATGCCACGACCCTAGTGCCTTTCTCTATATTAATCACAACTTAGAACATCTCCCTTTAGCATAAATTAGCTTAAACTTGTAGTTGATACAATTAGGAATCGACCCAAAAAATGACAGAAGTACAATTAGGAGCAAACACGCATTCCTAGTCTGAACAAATACGCAACTCCATTCCAAACTCCCTGTGGAAATTGACCCTGATACCACTATTCGGGTAAAAGTCTTAGGGCTTTCTTATAACATTATAATTTTACTCTTACGTATATAAAGCCATCTTAGGGCTTCGTTCTCCATCAGTACTATGTTTGGACTTCTTAATATTCAAGGTATAACTGCTACTATTTTGTGTTGTTTCTGCCGTGTTTGGACAAGTGGACTTAAGTAAATCTCTTAATTCCTGATATGAAAGCAACTTTTGTAATTATGGCCCTCCAATATTCCCAACGTTCAGTATATTTTGCCAATTGATCCTCCTAATGGATCTTCCCGACTAGCCTGGAGTATGCGTGCCATCTTTCAAGAATATGTTGTTGCTCTTGCTACAATTGCTGGATAAGTACATTTCACAGTATCAGTGTATTTAATATTTCACTCTTAAACAATAGAATATTGTTGTGTTAGATGAAAAAAATTAATAATGTGTTCTTCGTCATCATCAAACAACCAAGAGACATCCTATGAAACATATCAACTTCAATCCTCTCACTGCTCCTGAATTTTCATTTCAAGAGCTTAAACTACAATACCCTTTCGTTGTCCACGTTGAAATACAACCTTGGATCTCCCCCCCTATCATGCAATCAATTGAGATTTCTCTCTTTTTCCCGCCGAAGTTTGCTTTAGCTTTGGAATGATCCCAAAAAATGTGAACTTTGTTATCTCCTTCGCTATCAACATCTTTGGACCCCTGTTTCTTCTAGAAAATAAAGGGCTTTATGTAGAGGTGGAAAGAAGGTGTACTGGCGGACGATAGATGAGGAGAAGAAATCATAGTATTACTGCAGTCAACAACTTCATCAAACCCGTTGAGAAGAAAATAAATGTGAAAAGATTTGCAGGTTAGAAGACCAGTTAGAGTGAAGAGGCCGAGGTGGGTGTGGTAAGGGAGGTGGCCAGGTTGGAGTTGCAGCAAATGGTGGCTATGGTGCCGAAAATGGGCGAGCGGCAAGGACGGCCAACTTAAGAGGGCAGCGAAAACAAAAAGAGAAAAGAGAAGAGTCATAATGGGCCGGGTCATGGGTAGTTGAGTTGTTAACCGGGTAGATTAAATTGGAGGGTGGGTCTTTTAGTGAGGAGGTGCCACGTAGCCCTCCATAAAAAAAGTAAGGGCAAATGTGATTTATAGTATAACAATAGGGTCTGAAATGACCAAAGTGTATCGGAGGGTAAGTTTAAACAATTTTCGATAATAGAGGAACACATTTGGCCTTTTTCCGTCGACAGAATAACATTTCTAACATCAATAAGGACCATGCTTGCAAGAAAGGTCATAGTAAATTGGAAGTTTAGATAGGAAATTCGTCTAACATGACAAATGTGGAAAGAGGAAATTCAGTTACATTAGAAGGATCATATGGCAAAGCTTTAATTAAAATACTTGCATATAAAGAATGGAGGCGCTGGAACTAATCCTTTTTAAAAATAAAAAAAAGGAAAACCTATATGCTTATCTGCATTTCTTTATCAACCGCTAAAATACATTACTGTAAATCTCAGAAAAACATCAAAATTTCATGGCTTTGGTGGCAAGAAGTCATCCTGCTCTTCAGAACTTTATATGGTCAGGCGTAGAAGAATTTCACATCGGTGATCGTCCATTACCAAGCATCTGACCAATAAGGTTTGTCGCCTGAAAATAAAAATAAAAAGTGACTCGAATATTTGACAAGTATAGATGTACCAAAGCTATCAACATTTTCAATATAAAATTACCAGAAGATATCTGATACATGGTTGGAAGAACTAAACAGTATACTAGTTAAAAGAAAGAAAACGGATAACAAAAACGGATAACAATGTATGCTGAAGTTATATTCAACTCAAGAACCCCGTTAATGTAGCATAGAGTTTGAGAAGTATGCATGTGGCAACTGGCATGAATTTACCACAAGCTGAAGAATCACAAAAAACATAAGAGTAACACCTATACGATTTGTTTGACAATTACTCTGCGTCCAATTACAAAACATAATTCATCTTTCAAGCAGCAACAAATTAGCAACTAAAAAGAGGTGCGACTTATAAATAGCTGTTCACTACATTCAGATTTGAACTTTGATTTGGCTCAAATTAGGGCTCTTTAACCAAGAATATATGACCAATACCTGCATCAACTACCATATAGCATCGACATGCCTATAGATCCTGAATCACATATCCCAACAGAGCCAATGATGTTGTCACTTTTCTGGGTTGGGGGTCGGGTTCTTTTTTTTTGGGGGG